CTCTTTATAATCTTAACCACTATCATCTAATGTATACAATTTGCATAATTGTTGTAAAGTGCATTGAATTAAGACACTTCACAATAACAATAAAGGTACTTATATAGATGTAGTGACATCGGGGAAGTCACTGTATGGTGCCGGCCCGGGAGGGCCGTGGCGTGCGATGTACTTACGTCACAGACAGCACCATGTGTTGCTGTGTGAGGCTGGCTCTAGCATAGCACTACATGCGATGCACCATCATCGCGTACACCCCGTAGGTGGGTGTAGTACCAGCCCTAGCGGGGCTTGGTGAGCACTGGGATAGCGCGGGCACCACGCATGGCGTGTAGCGCGGGCTTCCACAAGGGGGAGCGGGAGAGTGTCAGCCCAGGGATAGGGTTGCCCCGGGCCATGGCACTCTGGTTGACCCCGTAGGCACGTGATCCGGAGTGTCCACAGAGAGGGCCCCACGTGGGGGGGGCTAGGGGTGATCCCGTGTCCGGGGAGAGCTCTCTCGAGAGAGATCGAGAGGGAGCTAGAATGCTCGCGAAGGTGGGTGGGGCTGAGGGCGGAGCCAGCCCCGAGGACCTCGTGCCGCCTACAGCTCCGGAGGATGCGGGGGAGATGCCATCTGGGTGCTCGACGCTTCGCCGTCGGCAGAGGCGACCATTCGGGAGGCGCACGGTCACCTCGCGGAGCTCCTCCATGCTGCTGCTTCGCTCCTCACGGAGATCAGTCCCATGGTCTCTCTGGTGAAGGAGAGAACGGCGATGCCGCTCGTGGATGACGACTCCGCCACCATTTCGCAGCAGGCGGGAAATTCTGCGGCGTGGCGTGCGTATTCGGCCGCTATTTTGTCGCAGGCACGGAGCGCGCAGCTCGCTAAACTTGAAAACGCGCCATTGACGCCGATGGACATCCCGGCTCTCCGCCATTTCGCAGCAGGTGGGAAATTCAGCGGCGCGGCCTGTGTATTCGGCCGCCATTTTGTCGCCGGCGCGGAGTGCACAGCGCGCCAAACTTGAAGACGCGCTGTCGGCGCTGATGGACATCCCGGCTCTCCGCCGTCGGTTTCCTTTTATTAAAGAGTTTGCGGCCACCAGTGGCGACTGGGTGGCCTTCAAGCGGCGGTTCCTCAAGAACGCTGACTTGGCGGGATGGACGGAGGCGCTGCGGGCGTTGCCTGCCGCCCTTGACGATGACGCCCTTGTGGCGTTCATCACCATCCCGCCATTGGAGAGGTCCACCCTTACTCAGGCTTTCAACCAGATGGCGTCAATCTACGAGCCTCCGGCGAATAAACGCCACAAGTTCGCTACGTGATGGAAGGGGGAAACCGAGTTGGCCCTCACCTTCCGTAGCGCACTTTTGGCGCTAGCGAAAGCCGCCTTCCCGAAAATGGACCACAACGGTATCGACGCGTTGGTCCTCGAGAGACTGCTGGCCTTGGCGAAAGTCCTCCACACCATTCTTCCAGCCGAAGATGATGACATCTCGTCTCTCAAGATCGCTAAGTGCATCCAACCTCAGCAACTTCTGCAACGGGACAAGGCGCAGGTGACGTGTGCCACGTCCCGCACGGAGCCGGGGCCACCGGATTGAGTGGAGCCCGTGTCGGCATGCGCGTCAACTCGGGGTGGAGGCGACCGGCGTGACGGTGGGGCGTGACAGACGAACGAGCAGCGGCGGCCAAGGTCGTCCTCTCCTTCCGGAGGCGGCCATGTTACCTGTTACAATTGCGGCCTGCCGGGGCACGTGTCATCGGGCTGCCGTGTACCACAATGGCGCCCCCCAGCTTCGTCACCATCCTACGCTTCCCTCCACCCTAAGGCGAGTCACGACACACTCAAAAATCGACCCCTGGCTTCACCTCACCCATCTAGGTGTTTCGGTTCGCGTACCGATCGCGCGTCGGTACGGGAGGGTTCTATGCGTAATCGTGAGTTTCGTCCGCTCCGACCGGATCAGTGGTCGGAGCTGGCCCATCGAGTGGTGACTGCGGCCGCGGGTTCACCTGCCGTGCTTGGATTTATTGAGGATGTGGAAATAAGGATGCTAGTCGACACGGGTGCGTCGGAAACTATCATCTCGGAATTAATGTACAATATTTTGCCCCCGAAGTGTCGGGTTGCAGACCCTGTTGATGAACCGTGTTTCACTAATAACGGCAGCTCATTGGGTATTATTGGTCGGATAATGGCCGAGGTGCGCATTGCTGATGTTAAATTGTCGAGACATATTCTTGTCTCCATGTCCCTGACTGTTCCATGTTTACTTGGAACCGATTTCCTTGGAAGGATGCCTTTGAAAATCCGCATTGACCGTGGCTGTTTGGAATTGCCATCTGGCTGTCGTATGGCATTTTTGCCTTCCCCCCACCCGTTTGTGGACGGCCAACGCTACGGTGCAGGCGCTCGCGCGCCGAATGGTGAGAATCCCTCCCGGCACGCAGATGTTAGTTTCCCTCCGCTTGAGGAAGCCGCTCGATTTGGGGGCTACGAAGGACAGAATTGTTCGTGGACTGACTTTGGTGGCGGCTCAAACGTGAATTATCGGTAGTACAAAAACACTGTGGCATAGGACGAGCTGGAATGGTGCGGTGAATGTTATAAATGATGATGATGCGTGAAAGGAAACGGAGGTGAAGATGACAAGAATAAGTTGATGGAGGATGACTATGGAGACGGGCAGGGTAACAGTAATGACGCTGGGGAGGGATAAACGAGGAATGTACAGTTGGTTTTCACAAATACCCGGTGTCATAGACATACACCTATACAATTATGTAAACTAAATAATGTAATGAATGGGAAAGAAGTTAAATGTGAAACAAAGGCAGTCAAGATCATTGGAAAAAGCCTGTATAGGTAGGCCCGATGTTACATTTTAACATGGATTTTTTTATTTAAAGTAGATGAAACCTAAATTCTGAAAAGTAAACATTAAAAAAACATTATACAAACAAGCTGCGGAGTAAACAGAATGGCAGAACCATACCTGGCTGCAAGTTTTAAGCAATGAGCAACCATTACAATAGAACCACAATCACGAAATACATAACCGGACAATTACAATGCTAAATTATACACAAAAAAGGCATCCCTACTATTTGTAAAATGGATACTAAAGACTGTACGGCAATAACATTAGATTTGCTGAAAGCTCCGTTTCAGGCTGGATGGTGCATACAGCTTTTTTGACTCTTGTAGTGAGAGAAGCCTGTGAATACAGCAACTACTATGGGGATCATTTGTGTCAAGCTCCTGGTTCCAAATCTTCCCAGACTCCACTTCAAATATGCAGCACTCTCCTACTCTGCATTGTCCAACAACTCCAAAGACAAATATTCCCCTTATAGTCTTAACACTTTTGGGACAATTGCTGTTAGTGAGTACCTAAGAAGGCCGGCACGGTATACAAGGGGATGATGTTGCATAGTGCGTGCGGCATACCCATTAAGCTGGAGAGGGAAACTCGTGTTTTTGGGCACAGTCCTTTGTGTGGAGCCAGGAGCCACCAGTGTGGTCGACCGACGTGGGGACAGGTTTTAGTGGCACAGGCCAACCAGGGGGAGGGAAGGTCAGACCATTTATAGTCGGACCTCTCACGTGATTGGCCCAGGGGCTGAAAAATGGGCTGAGAGCAGCACTATAAAAGCAGCACCCAAATCGGCAGTGGCGGGGTTTTGGGCGGATCTCAACCCAGAGGCAGCAGCAGTAGCAGCGGTGGTGGTGGCTGCATTTCTCCACAACCACCCCCAGTAGTGGCTGGGCGAGCTCCCACCCTCAAGCAGCAATGCAAGTGAGGACCAGGGGATCTCCACTGTAAGTAGCAGTTGAGGGCTGTCTTCCACTCCACGGAATATATTTTATAGGGAAACGTTAGGTGACAGTAGTATTATTATTGTTATGTTTCCAGCGGCTGACCTGGGGATTGAACTGGGGCAGTTGGGATTTCTGGGACGGAGCAAGGCATGACAGGAGCGGCAGGAGCGGGGAACCAAGCCGGCTGCAGCCTGGCACTGGCCAAGCGTGGAGACTTGCCATCTGGTTCCCTGGGTGGCTGCGGACATCTCCCACTGCTCGAAGAGGGGATAAGCTCGAGGCACGAATTGCCCACTGCGAGGGGTTGGCAGGCAAGGGGTGGAAACACCTGAGGAGGAACACGGGGCCATCTGTAAAGCAGAGTTGTGTGTGGGAGAGTAGGGGAGGTGTTTGACCCCCCCCCCCAAAAGAAAAACTTGTGCGAGTCTAGGGAAGGCGTTAGGAACACTAGGTGTGATTGGATGTGTGTGGGTTGTTTTATGCTTATTCGTATTCCGGCATCTACAAACTTATTCTGGCGTAGACAAACTACGCTGTGTCTGCGGCAAGAGTTACATTGGGGAAACTAAGCGACATGTCTCAGACCGTGTTCGTGAACATAAGGCAGATCTGAAACACGGAAGGACCAATAACTCAGCCGTGGCTGATCATTGTTTTAATGCGGTGAGCTCACATGAAATTGATTTCTCTAAGACGAAGGTACTTTGCAAGCCCACTGGCTATCAACAAAGATTTGTTCATGAAGCCATCCATATAGACGCAGACACAATTTCAACCGAGAAGATGGGTACAAACTGAGCAATCATTGGAAGGACGTTAACGACCAGCTTAAGTCATAATTGGCTATGATGTTCCAATCCGACCACCTTCCAATGTTAGTTGTGCTATACGCCCATTTCAAACTTGCGCTTTCAGTCACTTCGCGCGCCGACCCCTTGGTTGCGGCTCTGCGATCTCTCATTAACATGCTAATCTCTTTTTAACATGATAATTTTCACCTGGCAGCCCTTTGATTGGAGAAAATGAACTACGACCGGGCTCCCTGCCGAACATTATCATTGGCTGCTGACATTTGGGCTACGCCCATTTCAAACCCTTATAAACAGTTTTTCTTGGAAGCGAACCCCCCCCCCCCCCCTTTCCTGAAGACGACCGCTTGCATTGCAATCGAAACGTCGTATTTTTCTGTTATTTTTGATTATTTTCTTTGAACCTATCTACGTGACTTTACCAAAAGACCCAAGAATATGAATTCCTGCAGTCACTAAAGCTTTAAGTCAAGATTTATTCTTATTCATTTGATTTGCTTTGTGGTAGCCTGCTACCAGGATATAACTCCTCTGCTTGGGGGTGGAAGGTGTAAATAAAAGCTAACATATGTTGTATGTCGGGTCTAGAAAATTTTAGACAAAGAAAAGGAAGATTGCACTACTAAGAATTATAACGAAATTATGCTAATTTATGTATTTATGCACATTTATTATCCTAATTGTGGAGATAATCCTCTTACTTTATGCCAATGTATGTGATTATGCTAATGTGGGCAGTTATGAAAATTATGCTTAGCTTCGTTGTCTAGGGTCGTGTTATCAATCGGGAAAATGCAATTATTCTTGCTTAAACATTTACTGATTATGTCTGAGTGTTTATGTCAGGTCTTGAATTCAAATCTCAACACAGGATACAGTTCTTAAAAATAAGATTATTACGCATGAACTCAGGAAGGAAGCACTCAAGACTCTTTAAGCAATTTTAATTCTAAACAAAAACATGACTCTAATATGCGAACTCTCATGCTTGGAATTATCCACGGTACCACCGGGGAATCACCTCTCACTGATCAGTACATGTAACCATCAATGATTGTGTTAACTGGGCAACCGAAAAATTGATTAATTCCACCGAGTAACGTGAGCAAATACAGCGATAGGGAAAGTCCTTAAAACATGCATGCGACGATATTCATACAAAAGGCAATAAAAAGCGAATTATTATATCACGAAGGCAAAAGTATACGTCAATAGATTCATCGGCAAGATTATATAATTAACGAAACGTCTTGAGACAATGGTGTGCGACGGTGTGTCCTGCTTACGCGATATGCTTACCTCTTGACTAAGCTTCAATTAATTAGTGGGCAAGATTCAGTGTTCAAAAGAAAGTTTTAACACAATATTCTCCCTGTGAGCGTGTAGATTCTTAACGAAGGTTTCAAAAGTTTAGTTTGCATCGATGAATCTATTGGTAATTTTATGCGATTAAAAAATATATAATATAACGACTAATGTACTTATAACGACCGTGTTCATATCACTCGATGAGCATCGATGCCTTCACGACCAGTTAATGGTTCATGTGTGTGTGTATTGTCCCCTTGATAAATTCTTTGTTTTAAGCAGAGGCCGGGCGCCAGAGGTCGCAACCGGGTACCCGATACCCGTACCCTACCCGATACCCGGCCGGGTACGGGTAGCCGTTTGCGACCCTGGTGCGGCTGGGTACGGGTAGGCCGTGAGTCACTGGTGAGTAACCGTTTGTCACTCATTTCGGGTAGGGTACGGGTACGCGTAGGGAACGGGAACCCGTACCTGGCCGGGTACAGGTACCCATTTGCGACCCTGGTGTGGCCGGGTACGGGTAAGGAATCAAAACCCGTTTGCGACCTCTGCCGGGTGCTGTGTCGTGAGCTTGTGAGGGTGGGGGAGGGGCATACAAACAGCTTGTGGCTCCCTTTTGCTCTCTCGCACGGGCGTGTCTGCAGTTAACCGCCGGCTCTCTCTTTCTGCTGCTAGATGAGCTGCGTCGGCACGATGCTCGTCCTTGAAGATGCTAGGTCGCTCGTGTGGCTCGTCCGCTGGCAAGCGGACACCTGTGCTCGGTGGCACTGGCGGCACGGCTGTGCGCCCTCTCTGGCTACGGGGTCTCTGACGATGAACAATGCTCTCGTTCGCTGGTGGCAGGCACAAATGTCTGATGAAGCTGGTTCTCTGTGATGCTGGCTTGGTCGATGTTTGGCGCTTTCCGCCCTTTCTCGAGGATGATTGCTGAAATTCTCGTCAGCTCCACTCGCACTGCAGCGGCTCGGTGGAGTGGGCACTCAGGGCAGAGTGGCTTTCGAGCGATACCTCTTCGGTCTCGATCAGCGCCGAAGTCGCACTGGTAGCACATCGCTACTCAGCGGGCCTCGCCATCCTGGTTGATTGCAGAGTCTTCGTCTGCTGGATTCTTCTTCTGCTGGCAAGCTTCTTCTGTGTTGGTGGTGTTTTGATGTATGGCTGTGTCTCTCTTTACATCTGAATTCTCTCCCTTCCCTGCGTCTCTTGCGAGGAAAAAAAAACACATGCTTACTCTGTTCTGCTCTTCCCCCGTGCCCACGCCCGATTGCCCCCCCCCCTCTTCCTTTGGTGACCCCGAGAGAGCGGTTTTCCGTCAAGTTTATGCTTGTTTGCGTTTCCCCCCCTTCTTAGTGTTATCTCGAGGCCAGACACCCTTCATACTTATTTATGGCTGACATGTGTTTGTCGAATTGTTGGAAGACAAAGGTGGCCAGGGAGGCTTTGGTTCCATGGAATACATATTATGTGGTATTGTGTTGGATTTATTCCTTGTATCTCTTATGAGTTACACCCGGTTTTAATATATCGTGATTATTCGGTTCATGTTTAATCAATATTCGTAATGCTCTTCATTACGTCATTATTTTGAGGGTTCTGCCAAGCTTGGTTATAAGTCTGTCTCCATGGATTGGTGTTTTATTTTGAGTTATATTTTGATGCTGGAAGAATAGCATTAGTTTGGACTTAAGTTTTCGTGATGGCAGGGGCTCGTGTATTTGGTTCATTTGGTGAAGTTACATAGATAGAAAGATACCATACAAAATAATATGAGTTGAATAAGGGTGAAATAAAATAAGTAACAATGATAAAACCACTGATAGACTGCCAGCCTATAACGTGGATTTGTTCTTTTTGCCGAGTTTCAAATTTTTATCGTTAAAGAAGATGCGAGTTGTAATGTTGTTTGTTTGTCTCTGCTCTGTGTTTTTTTCCTGGCTCTGCATATTTGTTTATGAACTGTCCAAAACGTTTGGGAAGGTCGGGGTCATATGCCCTTTGTCAATCTGGAAATTTCCAGATAGTCGCTAACCTTCCTCTGCCCTGAGTTTATTATTTAATGGCATTTTACGACCTCCAAATGCTGGGTGCTTGTTAGGGGTAGCGGGGTTAAATTATTTATTAAAAATATATATTGGCCGAATTATTCTTGATATGAATTTTGGAAAAAGGCCTATATATATACACATCCCTAACAGCCAAGTCTCTGAGTGGTCTAACACCAGCTCGACGGCAATACACCCCAACCATCAGCCCTCCGTGGATAGGTAACGTGACAGATGGGTGACCAGCATCGTGCCCAACTACCTTTGTCTTCCCAGTGGCGATGTTTACACATTGTACCAGGTACTCATTTGTGACCGAGTTGACCTAGGGGAGGCCCAGGACCGGTTCAAATAATCGTCACCGGTGTTAGCCGTGAGCGGGAATCAAACTCGGCCGTTGTTACACCACTCCCCCAAAATCCACCCACACCTCCACATCCACAAATTCCCTGTGGTGGCCTCGTTCTTCCTCAGAGTCTGAATCCTTCTCCTGCTTCACGCGGACTTCATCCACCTGGAGGTCAGGTCCTGGAGTTGAACCTTCATCTTCACATTTGACCTTCACTTCTTTATATTCTACCTTCACCTCTTCACATTCCACCTTCACCTCTTCACATTCCACCTTCACCTCTTCACATTCCATCTTCACCTCTTCACATTCCATCTTCACCTCTTCACATTTCACCTTCACCTCTTCACATTCCACCTTCACCTCTTCACATTTCACCTTCACCTCTTCACATTTCACCTTCACCTCTTCACATTTCACCTTCACTCCACATTCCACCTTCACTCCACATTCCACCTTCACTCCACATTCCACCTTCACCTCTTTACATTTCACCTTCACTTCTTTATGTTTCACCTTCACTTCCTTATGTTTCACCTTCACTTCCTTATGTTTCACCTTCACTTCCTTATGTTTCACCTTCACTTCCTTATGTTTCACCTTCACTTCCTTATGTTTCACCTTCACTTCCTTATGTTTCACCTTCACTTCCTTATGTTTCACCTTCAGTTCTTTATGTTTCACCTTCAGTTCTTTATGTTTCACCTTCACTGCTAGCGACGTTGCGACGATTGGGTTGTCTTCTGGTCCTTGTTCCATGCGAGATGGGCTCAATTCGGCTCTTTTTTTACGTCCACGTCTCGATTTCACCTTCGACTTATTGTGGATCTTTTCATGCCTCCTTCGGCCTTCAGGCCGTGCAAATGGCTTCCCACACACAGTGCACTTGAAGGGCTTTTCGTCAGAGTGCATTATAAGGTGTCTTTTAAGATGTGCTGCATCTCCAAATGCTTTCTCACACACAGTGCACTTGAAGGGCTTATTGCCGGAGTGTATTTTCTCATGATGTGTAAGACATCGTAGAAGCCCAAATGACTTGCCACACACAGTGCACTTGAATGGCTTCTTGCTTACGTGCATTTCCTCATGAACACGAAGACATTGTAACCATGAAAATGTCTTCTCACACACAGTGCACTTGAATGGCCTCTCGCCTGAGTGTCTTCTCTCGTGAATTTGACAATCTCGATTAAGTAAAAATGCCTTCCCACACACAGTGCACTTGAAGGGCTTCTCACCTGTGTGTCTTCTCTGATGAATGTTAAGAGATCCTGCCTGTGTAAATGTCGCCTCACACACCATGCACTTGAAGGGCTTCTCTTTCGTGTGTGTTCTCTGGTGTTTCTTCAATTTTCCCATCTCATCCGTATTGTATGGACACTGGAAGCATCGATGCCTTTTAATTCCAGCCCCAAATCTCACTGCTCCACGTGAACGATTCTGCAAATATATACACACATATTACACAGCACATACAAGCAGCCCTCGCTTAGCACAACCCCGTAGAGTACCGATTCCCTATCCCGCTTTGTCCTGGAGATTTTTTTTCTTTACAATGAAGAAAAATCAACAAAGTGCTTACTCGCAAGTTAGAACACACAGCAGGAGCGCTGGTCTAGGAAACGTTGCTGTTCCCATCATTCGCTCAGCCAACGAGAGCAACGCACGGCTCTGAGCAAACCAGACCCCACCTCCACAATTACATTGAAGAAAAACAAATAGATTTACTTAACCAGGTTGAGAACTCGTGAGACCAGGATAAGAGTCTCAGGGCTCCACCTAAAAGAAACCTCTGCACAGAAAGTTAGACCTCCGATTAGCACGGTAGGCTACGTATGGTGCAAAAGAAGTTCAACATAGCAGACCATGGAGTTATTGGAGCTCTTCTCCAAGAAAAAAACCAGATTGGAAATGCAGCAGCAGCTCCTCTAACCTTGTCTCCCACCACTGCCTTGCAGCATAGTAAAAAGCACTCATGAGTACAATACATACTGATATTTCCATACATTTATTTATTTATTTCGGAAATGTTTATCACTTATTATGAACACTGTTACCGATACCCCCAATGAAGCCCTCGTATATTGCTCGTACATAAGTAATTTCAGGAATGCATCCCTATGTAGTATACAATGGGGTATGATTACCGCTTTTAGGGCTGATACAATTGGTGCTCACTTCGAGGAATGCATCATGATGAGCTCGAAGGCGAGCGCTGCTTGTATAATGGCACCCATGCTGACTGGAAGGTACCGCTCAATCTTCTTCCTCTCCCAGTGCCAGGGCAGGTTTTGCCCATGTGCCGTTCAGCAGGCTAAACCCACTGCTGTGCTGTCACAAATCACAGCAAGCTCGGTTCACCACTCTGGTCAAATGTAGCAGCCACCCTGATTAGTAAGACAGTCGTCAGACATAGTTAAGTCTGTCTTGAAAAGCATCTCCTTAAATGGGCATTTTCCCTCCGCCTACTTATGGCCATTTACCCTGGTTCTGAGCGATTGGGTTCGTGAGAGTATATGAGTTGGTGAGCGTGAGGTTGGGTGAGGATGTGGGTTAGTGAGTGGATAAATGAGTCGACGTGTGATTGGCCTACTATCCATCCTGGGTTTAACCCAGCCGGATTGTGTGCAGAGCTCACAAATCCTCTAAAAATCAGGAAACAAGTCCCATTGGTGAGCAGATCTGGCAGGCAAGGCTGCGCTTGGCTGGGTCATGTGGCCTGCATGCCCAGCCACCGCATGCCCAAACAGCTTTTGTTTAACCGGATAGATGGGGAGAAACGGGTGTGGGGCATGGGTTAGAGAAGAGATTGACTCTTGTGGTACACTCTACAAACGTATATTATAATTTCGATTACTATATATAAATAAAGATCTTAATCTGGATGTATGTCTCAAAAACCTCTCGGGTACTTCACGTCAAGGTAGAAAGCTGAAATTTGGTCTATAGGTGGCTTTTAAATTTTTCATTTTAAGGCCCTTAAATATCGATTTTAAGTGCTCCATGAACATGTTTGTGCGTGTCATTCAGAAATGGTTCAAAATATAAGATTGCAGGTTTTTTTCGTTTGATAGTGTTAAAGAAGTAACATTAAAGCGAACCATTGTTCTTGTTTTGTATTATTTTTCTCATCTTATCTTATAATAATTTATATAACGCTTTATTCAAGGCACTTTACACAGAATTAACAATGGTACATATTAATGTAACGTTGGAGATGAGGTTATTTAAATAGACGAGAAGAAGCAATGGGCAAACCTCTGATGTGTGAAATTGGTGAAAGCTAAATTGACAATAAATAATGATGAATGGATTGAATGAATGTGGAATGAGTGAGAGCCATATGAGAAAATGAAGGAAAAGTAACTGTGGCAGATATGAGGTGGAGATTAAGGGCATCTTGAGTGCGGAATGGAAATTAGTGATCGAAGGTGACTGTTCAATGTGGAAGGGAATTTTGTTCGAGTGAAGGAGTGCAACAAGAGAAATAGAACAAAAGCATGATTGACCGCAAGAAGTAGGAGGAACAGAGAAACGGCAAACATTGTGAACATAGAGGGCAAGAAGGCGACGTAGAGACATACAATAGTGGCACAATACAGTGGGGTCAAGACCGTGAGGGAATTTGGAGACCAGGGTGAGAAATTTGAACAGGTAATGGTAGTACACAGGGAGCCAGTGCAGTTGCGTGAGCAGGGCCGAAGTATGGGAATTATAGGGAAGGTTGAATTTGAGCTGAGCCGAGTTGTTTTGGATTTGTTGGAGGAGGACAAAAGAGTAAATGGGCAGACCGAGCATAGTCCAGATGGGTATGGATAAGGGAATGGACTAGAAGTTTTGCAGCAGAGGTGGAAATAAGTGGTCGGATTTTGCGAATGTTGAACAAATGAAACCGGCAAGCATGGGTAGTGGTGGAAATGTGATCAGTAAGGGAGAGGGAAGAGTCAAAGATAATACAAATGTTGCTGGCTAAGGAAATAGGGGAAATAGAAAAAGGAGCAGGGAATGGTGGGACAGAGGAGGGGAAAATGAGGCCGGGGAAAGATTATTTGAGTTTTGGAAGGGTTGAGGGACAGAGAGTGACGTGCCATCCAAGGTTGGATAGAAACCAGGCAGAATGAGATATGGGAGAGGTCAGGGTAAAAGGAAAGGAGAAGAACATTCGGATGTCATCTCTATAGAAATGTTGGGGAAAGTTCAGCAATGCAGCAACAATGCTAATGCAGTTAATTTCCCCCCCGCATCCCCAGCGTTTGGCATTGTTGCTGCATTGCCATTGTTGCTGCATTAGCACTCGTGCACCGCCCGTGCTTCTGGTGTTGTGGATACACTTGGGCTACGCCCATCCCCAAACCCTTATACTGTAAACGGTTTGTCTTTAGAGGCTGACTCCTTTGCCTGATGACGACCGCGTGTGTTGCGATCGAAACATCGTGATTTGTTTTATATTATTTCTAACTACGTGACTTTACCGAAAGAACCAAAGAGTATGGATTCCTGCAGTCACGAAAGCTTCAAATCAAGATTTGACTGGAGCAGGTAGCTTAAGTATATTTAGCGGTGGAGCGAGGGTGGCTAAGGGAGATGATTGGTATTCACAAGGCTGATGATGAAGCGGTGGTAGGTGGTGGATGATAGTACGAGGGGATGGTGGTATTAAGGATGGGAGATAGTGGATGCATGGAGATGGATAATCTCACATGAAGCATGAGGAGTAACATGGAGAGTATGACTCCTGCCATCTCGATAACCGCGACGGCGAGATCTGGGCCCTTTGACGAAGAAAATACCCAAACCATGAGGTTTATAAAGGAATAAGGGGTGAACATATTTAATATAAGCGGTGGGACTGAGTGTAAACAACCCATCACGCGAGTAGGCAGGACCAGAGTTTGGGTGTATGCCGACTGGAAACTGAGAACAGGCTCCAGTTAAGAACCAGGCTACATTTCGATTCAAAGCTTTCGTGACTGGAGGGATTCATCTTCTTGGTTCTTTCGGTAAAGTCACGTAGAAGGGAAATAATAAAATAAAGAAATAAAAAAATAATAAAATAATTCTCACGACGTTTCGGCTACAACGCAAGCAGCCGTCCTCAGGCTAAGAACCAGGCTACAGTCTACATTATAGACTGCCAGTTCACTCACCACACTTAATAACCAGGCTACAGTCTACATTATAGACTGCCAGTTCACTCACCACACTTAATAACCAGGCTACAGTCTACATTATAGACTGCCAGTTCACTCACCACACTTAATAACCAGACTACAGTCTACATTATAGACTGCCAGTTCACTCACCACACTTAATAACCAGGCTACAGTCTACATTATAGACTGCCAGTTCATTCGCCACACTTAATAACCAGGCTACAGTCTACATTATAGACTGCCAGTTCACTCACCACACTTAATAACCAGACTACAGTCTACATTATAGACTGCCAGTTAACTCACCACACTTAATAACCAGGCTACAGTCTACATTATAGACTGCCAGTTCATTCGCCACACTTAATAACCAGGCTACAGTCTACATTATAGACTGCCAGTTCACTCACCACACTTAATAACCAGGCTACAGTCTACATTATAGACTGCCAGTTCACTCACCACACTTAATTAGCAGGCTATAGACTGCCAGTTCACTCACTCCGATTAATAACCAGGCTACAGTATACATTATAGACTGCCAGTTCACTCACCACACTTAATAACCAGGCTACAGTCTACATTAGAGACTGCCAGTTCACTCACCACACTTAATTAGCAGGCTACAGTCTACATTATAGACTGCCAGTTCACTCACCACACTTAATAACCAGGCTACAGTCTACCTTATAGACTGCCAGTTCACTCACCACACTTAATAACCAGGCTACAGTCTACATTATAGACTGCCAGTTCACTCACTCCGATTAAGAACCAGGCTACAGTTAACACGAGTGGTTTTGTTTTCTATTTTTATTTTATTCTTTTTTATTTTTATTCACTTTATTTTTATATCTACTTGACTTTACCGAAAGAACCAAAAAATACTCTTTGAACCAAATAATACTATTATAGAGTTAGTATAGCTACTACTACAGCCAGTAGACACGTCTATAGAGTTAGTTTATCTACGACTACAGCCAGTACAGTGTGTGCATTAGTGTATAGTGTACAGTATTGTAGTGTGCACAGTAGTAAGTTGGTGTGTAGTGCAGTGTGTAGTGGTGTAGTGTGTGCATTCGTGTAGTGTACAGTGGTGTAGTGTGTACGGTAGTGTAGTGTGTATAGTAGTGTAGTGTATATAGTAGTGTAGTGTGTATAGTAGTGTAGTGTGTATAGTAGTGTAGTGTGTATAGTAGTGTATGTGTACAGTAGTGTAGTGTGTATAGTAGTGTATGTGTACAGTAGTGTAGTGTGTACAGTAGTGTAGTGTGTACAGTATAGTAGTGTAGTGTGTACAGTAGTGTAGTGTGTATAGTAGTGTAGTGTGTACAGTAGTGTAGTGTGTACAGTAGTGTAGTGTGTATAGTAGTGTAGTGTGTACAGTATAGTAGTGTAGTGTGTACAGTAGTGTAGTGTGTACAGTAGTGTAGTGTAGTGTGTATAGTAGTGTATGTGTACAGTAGTGTATGTGTACAGTAGTGTAGTGTGTGTACAGTAGTGTAGTGTGTACAGTAGTGTAGTGTGTGTACAGTAGTGTAGTGTGTGTACAGTAGTGTAGTGTGTGTACAGTAGTGTAGTGTGTACAGTAGTGTAGAGTGTACAGTAGTGTAGAGTGTACAGTAGTGTAGAGTGTACAGTAGTGTAGTGTGTACAGTAGTGTAGTGTGTACAGTAGTGTAGTGTGTACAGTAGTGTAGTGTGTATAGTAGTGTATGTGTACAGTAGTGTAGCGTGTGTGTACAGTAGTGTAGTGTACAGTGGTGTAGTGTGTACGGTAGTGTAGTGTGTATAGTAGTGTAGTGTGTATAGTAGTGTAGTGTGTACAGTAGTGTAGCGTGTGTGTACAGTAGTGTAGTGTGTAGTAGTGTAGTGTGTACAGTAGTGTAGTGTGTACAGTAGTGTAGTGTGTACAGTAGTGTAGTGTGTACAGTAGTGTAGTGTGTACACATCTCAGCCAGGGCACCCCTGGACGAGGACACTGAGACGCGGTGCGAGGTGAAAAAACATTTTTTAAACTTAGAAAATAAAAGCAAATAAAATAATGCGAAGCCCTGCATGGCTAGGCCGCACGTGGACATCGATCCGTAGCTGCTACTCAATTGATATCCCTAGGAGAGAACGAAGAAGCGAAGCTTTACCTGCGTAGACAACAACCAAACATCACAGCAACATTTCGATTTAAAG